CAGCCTTTAGTTATTAAAACTCCCTCCTACCTTAGGGACACTAAGCAGGTCCTCCAAGACATTAAGAATTTAACCACAGAACCTTCTACAATTTTGGTGACGGCGGATGTAGCATCATTATATACGAATATTAAACATGATGACGGTATGCAAGCGGTTGAATTTTATCTGAATGATCTTAACGAAATGCCTGCCTCACAGAAAGTTTTTATTTTGGATCTTTTACAATTCGCAATGACCAAAAATTACTTTTGGTTTGACGGTAAATTTTATCTGCAGACCACTGGTGTCGCGATGGGAGCGAAGTTCGCTCCCAGCCTGGCTAATCTGTTTATGGCCAGGTGGGAGGAGGACATTATTTATTCTCGTGACTGGCCTGAATTGTATTTTTATAAAAGGTATATCGATGACATTTTATTGATTTGGAAAGGGGACGAGCAGGCACTTATTAACTTTTTTATTACTTTAAACAATAACACACAAAATATCAAATTGACATATGAATACAGCACAGTGAGTATTAACTTTTTAGATCTAACATTAATAAATCATGAAGGGACCATTATTACTAAATCCTTTTTCAAGCAAACGGACCGTAACGGCTATATTCCGGTTAATAGCTGCCATCATCCGGCATGGCTTTCAAACATTCCTAAAGGCCAGTTCTTGAGGATCCGTCGCAATTGCACAACTCTTGAAATGTATTTTGCCCAAGCAGATATACTAAAGGAGAGATTCATTGAAAAAAGGGTATGATGAATCCTCACTCACATGCACTTTAACATCGGTTGCTAATATGGATAGGGATTTGATGCTCAGTAACAATACGGGACAGAAATCTGCTAATCTTTGTCCGTTTGTTACAACCTTTTCGTCCCAATATAAAAGTGTTACAAAGATTATTAGGAATAATTGGAAAATTCTTATGGCAGATCCAACGCTCACTAAAATTCTACCACATAGACCCGAAATCACATTTAGAAGAGCCATTCCTTTAAGAAATAGAATAGCGCCTAATGTAATTAACCCTCCTCCCAGGATTCAGTTTTTTAATAGCTTAGTGGGTTTCTTTCCATGTAACAAATGCGTCATCTGTACTTGTAGTGACCATAAAAAAAGGAGAATTGATCAATTTGTCTCTACTTCTACCAATAAGCAATATGACATTAAGAGTTTTATATCATGTAATACTAGATATGTGGTATATCTACTCCAATGTCCGTGTTCTAAACAGTATATAGGCCGCACTACAAGGAGATTGCGAGACCATTTAAGAGAACACATATACAATATAAAACGTGGATTTAAAGAACATTCTCTTTCAAAGCATTATAGGCTTTGTCATAACAGAGATCCATCATCACTTAAATTTACAGCTATAGATGTTGTACATCACCATTGGAGGGGCATTAATAAGAAAAAGGCTGTTTCTCAACTGGAGACAAAGTGGATATTTGAGATGGGATCTATGTATCCCAGAGGTTTAAACGTTGACATAGATATCAACTGCTTTATAGATAATAGTTGAAACTTCGAATTATGCTTTTTATCTCCGGTTTTATCTCCACTTTTTATTCCTTCTTATATGTAATTCATATGGACTTTACAGGCCTTTACGTTCCATCTGTGTACCTTTTATAATTCGTCCCTAGTTTTTTATACATATATATGTATTAATGCTTTTTGGTCATTGCGATTTTGAATATATCTTTTAATATATTTTAAAATAATAATTTTTTAAAAAAAATAAAATAATTATAGAGTATTCTCATGATATTTGATATATTTTGGCTGCACCTTTTATTAAAGATTTATATCTAATATGTATATATTATGATATGTATTATGTATGAACATCTATTTTGATATGCGTTTTTATAGGCATCATTGATTTTATTTATATTCATATTTATAGTTGTTTTATTATTATGTGCATGTCATTGTTATCACCAGACTTATCATTAATGAGTTTATATTATAACTCCATGTTTTGATGAGGAGTTATTAGCGCTATATATATCTTAAATTGATCCCGCACATGCGCAGTGGTTTGTCTGCGACGATATTCATCAATTCCAATTCCAATTTATATTTATGGGTTATGTATGGTTCATGGTGTCCTGGCACCGCTCATTTAGATTTTATGTAAATCTTCGGGGTCTTTCCTTTATATTCACATTGAGTTTCCCTGGTGATTCAGTGACACTCACCGATGATTGTAAAAAATGGCGCCCGCGCATGTGAGATTAAGTTGGTCTCCGACAAAATGGCGCCTGATATGGAGACATATCTCTCAAGAAAAATGGCGCGTTCGTAATGCGCATGCGCCATTTACGATTTTTAATGGACGCTGTCAGACACGGACGCTGAAGCTTATCCCCTTTGATGATGTGCGGTTAGCACGAAACGCGTCAGTGTAGTAGCTACAGCGTCATTATCTCTCTGCCGCCGGCACCATGGAGGTCCCGGCGGCCATCTTTTAATTCACCTCATAGTCAGTGTTTGTTTATCCTCACCTATGTTATACTGCATAGAATTAAATCTTTTAAAACGGTATCACGCTATTGGTCTCCTTTCTTTGTGGCCCTTGGTGAGTCACATATCACTATAGAGCCACCTAAGAGAGAGACCGTGGATTATCAGCAACATCCAGCGGGTGGAGGAATATCTGGCTTGACCTGACCTTTAAGAGCTACCAGTGGATCTTGTAGAGATAACTTATCTCTAAATGCGCAGTTACACTGTGCATCTGGTGAGTGCACAGCCTTATCCTTCTCACGTTCACCGCATGGAAGCAGCACTTTGAAGGAGAGAAATTATCACAAAGACTGTTTTTGCACTGCATGTTACTCTGCTTGTGACATAATGTTTAGGATCACATTAGTCACTTAAAACCACTATATTGATATCTTGGGTGTTTTTTCACTTAAATACTTGTGATATAGCGCCGCATCTTTTTTATTTCATGTTTTTGTAAGGTTTATTGGTATCCTTTTTGATGCTGTGGCTCCTTTATTTTTCATAGCGCTCACAACTTCTTTTATACTTGTTTGGGAGTAAATAATACCCTATCTTTGGTGTCAGTAGAGGAAGTTTCCCATCATTGTTGTCAATGGAAGGAATTGTGCCCCAAGGTTGGTGTCAGTAGGAGGAATTGTGTCCAGTTGTTGGTGTTAGTGGATGGAACAGTACTCCAAGGGCCAGATAAAGGCAAGCAAAAGGCTGCATCCGGCCCACAGGCTGCAGTTTGAAGGCTGCTGGTTTACATAAAGTGTAAAAGGAGAGTTAGTGTTAAGGTTGCATAGAAGGTTGGTGTTTTTGTTAGGGAAGATTAACATAAAGGGGGGCCCTTAAGGTAGGGCCCTGCCTGTTCTATGCCCCAGGAGCTATAGCAAACTATTAGCAATGTCCCTGTGCAGGAAACCAATGTACCATCATTTAAGAGACTTTCACTTTTCCCATTCAGTGAAAAGAGATAGTGTGTTTCTAATGATTTCCCCAACTAAAAATGTTACTAAACCCAGGACCCTGCATTCACTGTATCTAGTCTCCCATGGTACACAGAACATGGAAATGCAATTATTTTAGTAAATATAAACTGCTAAATACCTTTTCTCATCAGCAGTATATAGCAGTCTTGCAACTTCTATCAGTGTCCAGCCAAGCACTGGTTAAAGCTTGTAGGAGTTTTCATTCTGCTCTAGGATGATGCATGACCCCTGACCTCTGAACAGTGCTGATAGGCCCTGTGCTCATCATGTGCACTCTCCCAAAAAAAAAAAAACCCTCTACACCAAACTGAGTATGTGCAGAGTGACTCCACATGATATGCCTTATCAGGAGAAGAGAGGGAGGCACTAGAAGAAGGAGAGGATTAGAGAAGTCAGGATCAAACAGTGTTTTTAAACAATGCAGAGGATTAATCACTTATGTTCCACAGTGAATATACCAAGCATGCTTTACTGCATATACAGACTGATTTTACTGTTGTGGGTTTAGTAACACTTTAATGATACTCAACCTGCCAGTAGTCCTCCACCACTCATTTTTTCTTAGTAGCAGACACCAAAACACACAATGTCTGCTGGTTTTGGGATGCCAAGAGGAGTGGTGACAGTGTTCGGGCCTAGTTTCTTGGTCATAGGACTATCACAATAGAGAAGGTCACATGCTCCTCCTATAACCAGAAGCACTGGGAATCACTGCCAACTGAGGTGGCAGAAAAAGCAACCGGGGAACACTGGGAGAGAATGAATGGGTTAGAAGGCCCTGTTCTGAATGAGAAAGGTGACAGTGTCTCTTTAAACAGTTCCCTAGTGCAATATAGCCGAAAGACGGCTACAGCATGGTTGTCTAGTTCTGGGAGTGCATCCATAGATGTCCTCCCAGAACACACCCCCTGTGCACCCCCAGCGCCGCCGGTGATCACTGTGTCCTACGGACACAGCTGATCACGTGATACGGTAAATGGCCAACCACAGCGGCCTTTTACCACGTGATCAGCTGTATCCAATGACACAGTAGATCACCGAGTAAATAAAGTTTCCAGTTATGGGCTGTCACAGTGTAAGGAAAATACTGCCGATAACCGGCAATTGTCAGATAAGTGAGTGGCACTGATCATCAGTGCCCTGATGATCAGTGTCCAGCAGTGCCACCCACCTGTGCCCATCAGTGCCGCCCACCTGTACCCAGTGCCACCCACCTGTGCCCATCAGTGCCGCCTATCAGTGCAGCATCATCAGTGCCTCTTATCAGTGCCCATCAGCGCTGAATATCCGTGCCACCTCATCAGTGCCCATCAGTACTGCCCATCAGTGCAGCCTCATCAATGCACATCAGTGAAGGAGAAAAATTACCTGTGTGCGACAGCACTGAAAGCTGAACATTGGCCTGGGCAGGAAGGGGGTATAAGTGCCCGGTAGGCAAGTGGCTAAGCTGATGGTTGTTTACTTGTGTTAGGATTTAAAAAAAAAAAAAAAAAACTCAATGAGACTCACCATCTAAAGTCTTTATTCCTTCTTCTACAAATTTGCGAGCAGCTGCTGGCCTGTAACAGAATTCATGCTAGGTCAAAGAAAACCATCTGTGACGACATTACATACGATTTGTTTGTACACAATGCTTTAGAGACCGCTTACAGCACAGGTGACACAGTTAGGTCCATGTATATTTGGACACAGGCACAATTTTCATACTTTTGGCTCTGGCTGGCACCAGAATAAATTAAAATGAAACAATCCAAATGAATTTTCAGCTTTAATTCAAGAGTTTGAACATAAATATCAAGTACAAATTTTAGGAACTGCAACCATTTTTATACACAGTCCCTCCATTTTCAGGGGCTCAAAAGTAATTGGACAAATAAATATAATCATAAATAAAATGTTCATCTTTAATATTTTGTTGAGAATCCTTTACTGGCAATGACTGCCTGAAGTCTGGAACCCATGGACATTACCAAAGACTGGGTTGTCCTCCTTTCTGATGCTTTGCCAGGCTCTAACTGCAGCTGTCTTCAGTTGTTCTTTGTTTGTGGGTCTTTCTGCCTTTAGTTTTGCCATCAGCAAATGAAATGCATGTTCAATTGGATTGAGATCAGGTGACTAAACTCGGCCATTGCAGAATATTCCACTTATTTTCCTTCAAAACCTCCTGGGTTGCTTTTGTAGTGTGTTTTGGATCATTGTTCCTATGTACTGTGAAGCACTGTCCAATCAACTTTTCTGCATTTGGCTGAATCTGGGCTGACAGTATATCTCTAAACACTGCGGAATTCATCTGGCTGCTTTCTCTCTTCTGTCACATCATCAATAAACACCAATGACCCAGTGCCACTGGAAGCCATGCATGCCCATGCCATCACACTGCCTCCACCATGTTTTACAGATGACTGTGTGCTTTGGATCATGAGCTGTTCCAAGCCTTCTCCACAATTTTTTCTTCCTGTCATTCTGGCACAGATGAATCTTAGTTTCATCCATCTAAAGAATGCTTTTCCAGAACTGGTCTGGCTTTTTTAGATTTTTTTGGCAAAGTCTAATCTGGCATTTCTATTCTGCAGGCTTATGAATGGTTTGCACCTTGTGGTGAACCCTCTGTATTTGCTCTAGTGAAGTATACTCTTAATTGTAGACTTTAACAATGATACATCCACCTCCTGGAGAGTGTCCTTCACTTGTCTGGATGTTGTGAATGAGTTTTTCTTTACAATAGCGGGGATCCTGCGATCATTCTTCACTGTTGTCTTCCATGGGAGTCCATGCCTTTTTATGTTGCTGAGCTCGCCAGTGCGTTCTTCTTTCCTCAGAATGTACCAAACTGTTGATTTGGCCACTCCTAATGTTATTGCCATCTCTCTGATGGATTTGTTTAGTTTTTGAAGCCTTACAATGGTCTATTTCACTTGCATGGACAGCTCCTTTGAACGCATGATGTAGGTTCATAGCAATAGATTCCAAATGCAAATACCACACTCAGAATCAACTCCAGACCTTTTACCTGCTTAATTGATGAAGAAATAACAAAGGAGTAGCCCACACCTGGCCATGAAACAGCTTTTGATTCAATTGTCCAATTACTTTTGGCCCTTTGAAAAAGGGGGGGTGGCTACTCTTAAGAGCTATAATTCCTAAGCCTCTCCTCCAATTTGGATGTACATACCCTCAAATTAAACCTGAGAGTGTTCACTTTCAGCCCAAATCCAATATATAACTATAGCTTGAATATGTTTTGGTAAATACCTGAAAAAACTAAAATTGTGCATGTGTCCAAATATATATGGACCTAACTGTATCAGCCTGTACATGATCAGGAGGTATTGTGTGCCTCTGACTAAAATATTTGTGGTGTGTAGGTTTTAGGCTTTTTTTTTTTTTTTTTTAATTTGACTGAAAGAAAGTACTTTGCACAGTAAAGCAAATGGGCTCTCTATGAAGAGGAATTGACCCCTTGTTTTTAGGACATGTATTAGAAGAGATAACATGCCAATATATTTCCTTTTAGGAAGGCATACTGTACTTCTGTTCCTTTGGCCCACTTTGCCAATGGCTGAATAAAAGCAAAACCATATTATGTTAGAAACTTTATAACAAACTCACCCGATTCCACTAACCTTGTGAGGAAATTGATAGAAGAGCTTGTATCATCTTGTCGAATCTATAAACCATTCACAGAACAATTTTAGTCCGGCACTTTAACTGTCATATTAAAAAATGATACACATGATTACAGTTGTCAAAAAAAAAAGATACATGACTTAGGATTCTCTAGAACAGGGCATAAAGGATGGCCACATAACTTCTGTACAGCTTTCCACAGTAGACAAAGCAAATAATTTAGTGTTGTTCCTTCCTTCAGCACATATGTGAATTAAGCAGAAGTCGGAATAAAGGAAAAAACTAAACAAAAACAAAAAAACAGCCTCTGCTTTCTTCCTTCCCAGGGGCCCTCTCAGAGTGGGTTAAATGATACTGGCCACTGGGGAAATCTAGTAGGGGAAAAGAATTACTACAGGGCAAAGCTTTGGATAAAAAAAAAATGAATGCAGAAAAACGCTCTTTTCTCTTTTTTTACTATTATTGGGCTACTCATTTTATGTATGTTTATGGCGTTCAAACGTTAAAGGATAAGTTCACCTTTCTGAAAATGTTACACACATATTTAAGGTGTAACATGTTTAGCCTCAGACCCCTCTCTCTTACCCTTGTGGCAGTGAGCCAGGGATCTTCTCCCCATACTTGCTGCCACAATTCAAAGACAGTGCAGCTGTGCAGGACTCTGTCCACACGGCCACGTAATTGATTCACAGATCCCTGCAAATAAATGAACTACAAGTCCCGACAGCCTTTGCGGCTGTCGGCCTGTAGTTCTCAATGAACTACCACAGCACTGTTGAGTGCTGTGGTAGTTCAATCATTCTTCCTGTCTGTGTACAACCTTCTGCTCGCACGAGGTACAAGCAGACTGATTACACTGACCAGTCTGCAGGAGACTGATTACACTGACAGTCTGCAGGAGACCGGCATAGCACCAGCGGTGCAATGCTTTATGGGCTCCTAAAACAAAAAGAAAAAAAAAAAAAAGTAAATGCACATTTTTTTACCTGCAAAACAAAGTGCATTTATGATTTTTGTAAAAACGTGAACTTATCCTTTAAGGCTGAAGTTTAATCTACTTTGCATTTCCTGGTTCCTCCTTCCCTGCTTATCAAGATGCATATAACATTTTTAAATAAATAACAGGAGAGATGGATTGGTGGCATCACGATCTCCACATTGTCCCATTAGACCACTCCTTTAATTCAATGAAAAAAGATACAAAGCACTCTGTAAATTCTGGCCATGCTGTTTGAATGAACCCTTGTGTTCATTATGCAGAAGGGCAGCCGCTTGGTACAGGACCCGTAAGTCCACACTGACTGCTGTAGTAGCACTTCCACAGCATACATATACATATGGAATATGTATACTTACATTGCTCCAAGCTGTACCAATGTGACTATACAATAAAAAAAAAAACCCTACCTGGATTCCAGGATTTTTACCTTTTCAAGTTTGCGCAATTTTCCTGTAGCCAAAAACTCATCTATCTTCTCTGCTATTTTGGCTCCGACACCATCCTTAAAAAGAATTCAAATAAAAATTATTGCATAAACTAGTCAATAAAACTGGAGACTGTCATGTCTACCGATATACACTGCTCAAAAAAATTAAATGAAACACTTATTAATCTGAGTATAGCATCAAGTCAATTTAATTCCTGGGACATTGGTCTGGTCAGTAAGGTAGCAGAGGGGGTTGTTAATCAATTTCAGCTGCTTTGGTGTTAGTAAAATTAACTACAGGTGCACTAGATGGGCAACAATGAGACGACCCCCAAAACAGGAATGGTTTTAAAAGGTGGAGGCCACTGGCATTTTTTTCCCTACTCATCTTTACTGACTGTTTTTCACTAGTTTTGCATTTAGCAAGGGTCAGTGTTACTAATGGTAAAATGAGGCAATACCTGGACCCTACAGAGGTTGCACAGGCAGTCCAACTCCTCCAGGATGGCACATCAATAAGTGCCATTGCCAGAAGGTTTGCTGTGTCTCACAGCAGTCTCAAGAGCATGGAGGAGGTTCCAGGAGACAGGCAGTTACTCTAGGAGAGCAGGACAGGGCCGTAGAAGGCAGCAGGACCAGCATCTGCATGAGCACTACCAGAGCCCTACAAAATGACCTCCAGAAGGCCACTTGTGTGAATGTCTCTGATCAAACAATCACAAAAAGACTTTATGAGGGTGGCCTGAGGGCCCGACGTCCTCTAGTGGGCTCTGTGGTCACTGCCCACCACCACAGAGCTTGATTGGCATTTGCCATTAGGCACCAGAATTGGCAGGTCCGCCACTGGTGCCCTGTGGTTTTCACAGATGAGAGAAGGTTCACCCTGAGCTCACGTGACAGCCGTGAAAAAGTCTGGAGAAGCCGGGGAGAACATAATGCTGCTTGTAACATCGTTCAGCATGACCGTTTTGGTGGTGGGTGAGTGATGGTCTGGGGAAGCATACCCATGGAGGGACGCACAGACCTCTACAGGCTAGAAAATGGCACCGTGACTGCTATTAGGTATCGGGATGAAATCCTTGGACCCATTGTCAGACCCTAAGTTGATTCTGGGTCGTGGGTTCCTCCTGGTGCACATCAATGCCCGGCCTCATGTGGCGAGAGTATGCAGGCAGTTCCTGGAGGAGAAAGGAATTGGTACCATTGAATAGCCCTCATGCTCGCCTGACCTACATCCAATAGAACACCTCTGGGATATCATGTTCGGTCCATCCGATGCCGCCAGGTTGCACCTCAGACTTTCCAGGAGCTCAGTACTGTCCTGGTCCAGATCTGGGAGGAAATACCCCAAGGCACCATCCGTCGTCTCATTAGGAGCATGCCCCGATGTTGTCAGGCATGCATACAAGCACGTGCGGGCCACACAGACTACTGGAGTACCATTTTGAGTTGCTGCAATGAAATTTCAGCAAAATTAACTAGCCTGCTGCATCATTTTTTCACTTTGATTTTCGGGGTGTCTTTGAATTCAGTCCTCAGTAGGTTGATAATTTTCATTACCATCAAACGATGGAGCATCCTTATGTTTCTAACACATTACCCATTCCATATCAGTATAGATATCCAGCATGATATTTTTCCCCATTGAGATCTGATGTGTTTTCAAATTGTTCCTTTAATTTTCTGCACAGTGTATAAACAGACTGAGAAAAAAATCATTTCCAATATGAGCAAAGCTTTCCAAAACCCAACAGATATAAATACAACCATTTTCTTTTCATTGCTGTAAGCTCAACAGGAGGGGGGGAGGGGGCGGTCAAATATATTTTTGCATCTGTTAAGATGCTGTCCTTGAAAAGTTCCCTGAAATCGCTGTGCTTAAGAAATGCTTAATCTTGACATGGACAGAAGTCACAACCCCATGGAGAGCTTGTGCTTAGGATTCAAGGATCTTCAAATGGATGTAGGGATCAATTTAATGACTAACACAGGTATTTTCCCTTAGAAAAGCCAGTACAGGTTCACTTTAATGCTGCACAACAGGCAAGCCACAAAATATACAGTTGCAATATGCACATATGAACAGCCCTACCTGATTAAAAATTTGTAAAGGATTTACCTCCCCCCAGCCTACTGACATTTGACATTTTTTTTATTTTAATGTTTACATACACTTTGATTACTAAAATGGGTTTTCCTTTTTTAAATATCTACCTAAAGTGCAGTTTTAATGATCCACAATCTCCCTATGCAATTTACACACACACACACTTAGTGCTCACCAATTTTTTTGCTTCTGCTCCACTCTTGATTTTTGTGGGATACTTTGCAATCACCGAGGCGGCTTTCCTGCAAGGGTGAGGTTACAAAGTAGTTCTTGAATGGTATACAGCTCATTCCATTCTTGTAATAATATGGCAGCATACAAGAATATAATATGCTAAAATCATCACTTTTTCCATCAGACCTTTTAATAGGCCCCACATAGGATTGTCTGTGGTTTCTTTCAAGGTTCTAAATTATGGAGGTTGAAACACATGCCAAACAACTCTCTAGTACAAGCAATCTTTCAATGACTAAGGAAATCTACCTAACTAGTTGAGGACACTAGATGTGCTCCCCCCAAAACATCACTAAAGTATACAGGTTTGTATAGCACATATGGTCCTTCTGCTTCTAGCATGTACACCCCCCCTCTTCTCAATTGCCATTAGGCCTCATTCACATGGCTGATTACTTGCGTGCCCCATGCAGGGCCATTTTTTGCCTGCACGGGGATGCACAGGTATTGCGTGAACCCCGTGTCGGCAGTCCCACAGATGTCTACTGGGACACACAACAGCACAGAATCACTGTGTCAGTTTTGACCTGGCGGCCCCAAGGGATTTCCTTAAAGCAATAGTAAACTCTGGTTACATTACGCTGCAAGGTAATGTCATAATGTGCTAGCATACACTTATTTTAAACCGAAGTCCTCTAGCAGCGTGTTCTCAGCGATGCCAGGGCTTCCATCTTCACACAGGCTTCCTTCCAAGTTTGTAGGATCCGGCCATTTGAATGGTCGAGCCGCAATGATGTCATTCCTGTGCATGCACACGGGAGTCATGGTCACTTCACAGCACTCTCAATGGACGGCACACTCGAATATGCTGTCTATTCAGAGTGCAGTGCGCATGCCCTGGTGACTTCAAGCTTCTAAAAAAGAATACCTGTAAGTAACATTAATATCTCCCAAACAAGAACTGTCTCCAGCCAGCCCACGGATGCACCAGAAGGTAGCTTGGCTCTCTCGGTGGAACATCCCATCCCACTGCATGTAACATCGATCAAGCAACTTGTTAGCCATGGCAATCATTGCTATGTGAAAGCTGACTGCTGGCTCTACCGGTTCAAACCCCAGAGAGACGTATCAGACATCGCTGGGGCTGAAGTGGTTATAAAGGTAAAAGGTTTTTTTTTCCCACCTTAAAACTGCTATCCCCAGCATCACCTTGAACCCCTTTTTGAGTCTGATCTCAATCCAGTGCTGTGCCCGTCTCCACTTTAAGTAATGATAGTTACTGTCAAAAAAAGAGATCCATAGCAGAAATGCAAACACTGTTCTAGGCCACAGGCTGTGCACGTGTGAGAGGAGAAGTGATTAAAGGGTTAGTGCACCTTTTCAGAAAAAATGAAAATGGGAACCAACACCCTGACCACCCCCCCTGGTCCACTGTACTTACCTCTGTGGCTGATGAGCTATCAGTGCCTATGCAGCTGGTGTAGCAATCCAGGATTTAAAATCCCTGCTCTTCTTCCCTCTTTCTGTAGGGTTTCTGGGACGGATCAGAGTGATTCCAATTAGTCAAACGGGTTATATGCCAGAGCCGACCAATCAGAAGTTCTCTGATCTGTCCCAGAAGACCTACAGAAAAAAAGGGAAGAAAGAGCGAGTATTTCAAATCCCTGACTGCTGCAACAGCTGTAGGAGTACTGACAGCTCATCACCCACAGAAGTAAATGAAGCAGGACAATGGCATGGAGAGGGTGTAGGATGTTAAAGTCTCTTGCCTCTTCCTGCCTGCTTGTTGTCTTCTCCAGCGCTGTAAACTGAGCTACACATGCGCAACTCAGCTTACAGCACCAGGCTGATCTCTAAGTGCAGGTATGATGGCCTTCTCCAAGAGTGACATCATCCCCAATGGCCAATGAAGAGGCCTAAAGACCGGCACTCAGAAGAAGACACTAGTGCAGGAGCATTGGACAGGTAATATTATTAAGCCTTTAGGTCTGCTTTAACCTTTCCTTTTTTCTAAAAAAGGTGACCTTACAATTTAAGGAACAAGCTCTATTTCTACTCAGGTTTTCATCAGACAGGCCTTTAAATATCTGATTATGTGGCATCTAAGTTAAGAAAAGCATTCAGGTACTGGTAAACCTGGTCAGCAATCCCAGCTATATTAAACACACTTCAAAATAATTACCCAAACAGCAGGAGTTCAGTGAATGACCTTACCTGTAGGCATTGTATTTATGGATGGCTCTATTGACATTCCGTTCATAATTGGCAAGTTCTAAAATATAAACACAAGCATATGATAATTACATTTCTTGTCATTACTAAAAAGTTTGCAATAGTTCCAGCATAAACTGATATTACCAGATGTATCAATTTAGACCAACTTTATCTAAAAGAGTTATTTAAAGTGATACTAAAGTTTAATTAAAAACAAAAAAACAAAAACATGTCATACTTATCTGCTCTGTGCGATAGTTTTGCTGAGGTCCCCCAATGGCGCTCCTGGTTTCTCCTATTCGGCGAGTGCCCCCATAGAAAGCAGCTTTCTATGGGGGTACTCGTGCAGATTTGCTCCCGAGACACCTTGGCTGCATCTATTGGCACAGACTTGGTGCCTAAGCCCCACCTCCTCGTCAAAGGATTTGATTGGCGGGAGCCAATGGTTCCCACTACTCTCAATCTGCCCTGTGAGGAGGGAGAGAACAGAGAAAGACACTGCTCTCATCCACAGCGCTGGATTGAGAATGGGCTCAGGTAAGTATAAGGGGGGTGAGGGGGGATTCTGTGGCCTAGAAGGTTTTTTTTACCTTAATGCACTAAGGTAAAAAAAAAAAACGTTAGACTTTAGAACCACTTTAAAAGGTGGTTCTAATGGAGATCAGGCAATGTAATTATTTGAATCAATGAGTAAGTTTGATACATATCTATATAAATCACACATTTTTTTGTGTGTCTTATTGGTGACATCTCTCTTTAATTCCTTACACAAAACGAAGCACAAGCAATTCTACCCAAACTGAAGATCCTTATAGTAGCTGTTACCAGAACAGGTGGCCATTGAAAGAATTTAACTTTATTCCTGTTAAAGTAACAACTGTAAAAACTTTGAAAACTATTAGTGTGTTGCGTTGACAAAAAAAAAAAAGACATAGGTCCTTTAACACCTGCATTTTGGTGCAATAAAATGAATGGGCTGCCTTACCAAAATGCATGTGAAAGCTGCAGTTACTATTATATTATTATACAGGATTTATATAGTGCCAACAGTTTGCTCAGCGCTGTACAATATAACGGGAGACAATACAGCAACAATACAGTTCAATACAAGAGGGAAAGGAGGGCCCTGCTCCTTGGAGCTTACAATCTGCAGTTTAACCCCTTGATGCTGACGTCACACAAATATGCGGCCTCGCAGAACTGGGCTTTTTTTCCGTGGGCCTACATATTTGCGCACCTGTCTTTGTGCCGGGAGCGTGCCCCCAGCACAAAGACCAGGGTGTCACTGAGAGCCCCGGGTCCCGTTCTAACCATCAGGACCAGGGGCTCCCAATTCTGGGTCACGTGATCGCTGTGATAGCCTCTGATTGGCTATCACAGTGATCAGTCACTGTACTGCTCGGCCCACTTGTTTTTTTTTCCTCTCTATAAATGGAGGAGATATATATATATATATATAGTATCTCTCTAACTCCTGGCATAGAGGGGGAAAAAAGTTTGTAAAAAAAAGAAAATATATATAAATAAATATTAAAAAATAAAAGAAACAAAGAAAAAATACCTAGATCAAGGTTTAATCATGTTCAGTACCCAGAGTAAGTGTTTGGGTCAAGGTCAGGATTTTTTTTTAAATTGGTATTAGTGTCAGTGTGTTTTAGGCAAAAAAAAAAAAAAATGTGCACTATTCCTGGGCTGTACTACGGGTACAAACAACAAATAACATACACATATATGGTATCGCTGCGATCGTCAAGAGCTGGAACATTTATTTTGAGTTGTTTGGTGGTAGGTTATGGTAGTAACAAGAAAACACACAACTAAATTTAAAAAAATTTACTATTCTGGGACAGTTTTCTTTTGATAATAAAAAAAAAATCAAGAGTTATCCATTACCATTTACCACCAAATTAAAGCCCAATTTGTCCTGAAAAAAAAAAAACAGGTATGATTCACCAGGATGTACAAAGTAGTTGTGATGATATGTATAGTTTTACTAACACGTCAACATTGCAAAATTGTGCTTAGGTATTAAGATTTGTTTTTACCCTTAGGTGTGAAGGGGTTAATCTGCTTGTATATTTTGCTTTCTCTGTTCCTCCCTCCCCCTCATCAACATGCTAATGATGTTTTTAAATCAAGCCTATTCTGATTATATACCTTATTTAGACCCAGTGATGTCATAACTAAGGCTCTGCGCTTCTCTATGCAATGCAGGCAAAGCATGGTTGGATTAAGGGGACCTGCTGGGTGCTGTACGTAACTTCCTGAAAACATCACAGCACCCTGCTTCAGTACTTCTCTCAAGAGCCCTCAGCTCTGATGTGGCAGTGGGCTGGCACTTTGGTGGAGTTATGCAAATATCAAAACGTCTTCATGGGCAGTGGCATGTATGGATTAGCAGACATTCCTAGGCAAACTATAAGATGAGCTGCGCATACACAGTCCAGTTTACATGCTACTGATAGCAAGCAGTCAGGTAGGTGTATTTTATCGCAGAAGGTGCAACGCATGTCTCTTCTGGATAGTACCTTGCCTGCTCGCAGCACGTCTGCTGTTTTCCACAGTGTACTGGATAGCACTGCATGTCAACACATTGCACTACTGTGCAGGGAAGTAAAAGTGGACCTTCACTTATGAACACAACTATTTACATCTGGCTCCATCCCTCTCCCACAATTAGAGAACATTGAAAGTGCAAGAGTTTGTGCTCACTGGTATTCCTTTACCATTCTTCCTTACCTCTGCACCTGATTTCCTACTTATGTCTCTTTTTTATACTTTGTATTCCCAGTGTTTTCTGACCTTAGGTCCTCCATCTTTTTTTCTTCCGTTCCCCCACCCCCTTGCATAATTACGATACTGTATTTGTTCTCTAAGGCCGCCCAGGCTTGGAATGGTCTGATTTCTGGTATGCTGTCCTGCAATAGAGAACCATACTAACAATATGTACAAACTTTTATGTCTCCTGTACCTTCTTCACAGCTGGGTTACTCTGTTATTTTACTTTTTTCCAAAAAGATTCATGAAAAAAAATAAAATAAAAAGTGTTTCTGTGTTTGTTATTTGCTAAAACTAAAGCGTGCAAAATCCAGTGCAGCTCTGCAGAGAAACCAATCAGCGTCCGGGTTTTATTACCAAAGCATAATTAAACAAACAAGTTAGAAGCTGATTGGCTACCATGCACAGCGGCACCAGATTCTGAGTGCTCCAGTTTTAGTCAATGTCCCCCATTGTGTCCATAAAGCTGCCACCTCATCCCTTTAAACACGCACACATATGAATGACACAGGTTCTGGGGCTGATTTATGCACAGAAGGCACTAAGTGAATTTGATTAGCACCTTAATCAGCCCCAGAACCTGTGTAATAAATGTGTTCATGTTTAAAGGGATGAGGTGGCAACGCACAGGGTGTCCAGCCATGGTTCTGTATTCTTCAATCTCCCTTCCAGGCTGAGCCTTGGAGTCTGTCAGCAGCCCTGAGAAAGGCCCAGGCTGCTCACCCCATGTGACCCCCACACACACAGTCTGCCTGCCCAGCTTTGTTATCTCTATACAGATATATAGATAGTCATTCCGTCCTCTCACCTACGAGGAAGTCGGTTATCCCCTCATTCAGGCTCTCCTGGGGTGCCTTCCTCTTGCTCATTTTTAAGCCGCTTTGTGAAGCCCTGATACCGGTAGTAATATTCACGACAGGCCGCGGATCATACTCTCCATTCAGGCCGCAGGACGTACCGCAAGACGTAATTCCGCACCACTAGTGAGGACGTAAAGCGTGGGACGCGTCGGACATGTTTGACCGGGGCAAAGCCACAGTGGTGGCGTGTTGTGATGCCTGGATCGTTACTGCCATCTAGCGGCAGCAGCGAGTAGAGCCATCCACATAGCGAGAGGCAGTGTGAACCTAATAAGATGTTGAAATAATATATGATGATATGCTATGAACAGGGGCGGACTAACCATTTGGAAACTCGGGCCCTGCCCGAGGGCCCGGGGTAAGTAGGGGGCCCCATGAGATGCCCCTGGTACCTTTTTCATAGGCTTTTTTGAGTTTGGGCAAGGACACAGGGGCCCCATGATCACCTATAGCCCGGGGCCCAATGAGTTGTCAGTCCGCTCCTGGCTATGAATATATAAACTGGGTGGAATCGTATTCATTTCTAAAATAAATAGCTAAATCATTAAGGGCTCATTTCCACTTTTCGCACCCTTTGAAGATCGATCTGTGTTGGATTGGTAAAGAGGAATTTTGTTGCCTCCTCACCGCTTGTGTTAACCACTTCAGCTCTGGAAGATTTACCCCCCTTCTTGACCAGGCCCATTTTTTGCGATACAGTGATGCTTTCCTTTAACTGACAATTGCCTGGTCATGCAACACTGTACCCAAATGTAGTTTATGTCTTTTTTCCCCATAAATAGATCTTTCTTTTGGTGGTATTTGACTACCGCTGCAGTTTTTACTTTTTGCTCTATAAACAAAAAAAGACCTACAATTTAAAAAAAAACAAAACTATTTTTTATTTTCTGCTATAAAACATATCCAATAAAAAAAAAAATGTAAAAATCAAATTCCTTCATAAATTTAGGTCAAAATGTATTCTGCTACACTTTTTTGGTAAAAAAAAAAAATCCCAATAAGCGTATATTGATTAGTTTGCGCAAAAGTTATAGCATCTACAACTAGGAGACATATACTGGAGTTTTTTTCATTTTTACTTATTTATACTAGTAATGGCGATGATCAGCGACTTATTATTATTATACAGTATTTATATAGCGCCAATAGTTTGCTCAGCGCTGTACATTATAATGGGAGACAGTACACGAGACAGCACAGTAACAATACAATACAATACACGAGGGGTTCGAGGGCCCTGCACCTTGGAGCTTACAATCTAGGAGGGAGGGATAGTGGTACAGGAGGAAATGGCTTTTGGGGATGGAATGGTAGGAAGAGTGGAGGAGATAGGCAATTAGGTGAGGGTGGGGTAGGCTTCCCTGAAGAGATGGGTTTTCAGGGTGCGCCTAAAGGTGAGGAGGGTAGGTGACAGTCTGATGGATTGGGGTAGTGAGTTCCAGAGGATGGGTGACGCCCTGGAGAAGTCCTGGAGACAGGCATGGGAGGAGGAGACCAGGGAACTAGAGAGTAGGAGGTCTTGTGAGGAGCGGAGAGTACGTTTTGGGTGGTATTTGCATATCAGATCGGTGATATAGTTAGGAGCAGTATTATGAACAGCTTTGTACGTCAATGTTAGCAATTTGAATGCGATGGGCAATCGGAAGCCAGTGGAGGGATTGGCAGAGGGGGGTGGCGGATACGGAGCGGTTAGTAAGGTGGATGAGTCTGGCTGCAGAATTCAGGATAGACTGAAGCAAGGATAACCTGCGGTGAGGTAAGCCGGTGAGGAGGGAGACTCACAAGTCAAGTCATGAAATAATAAGGGAGTGAATGAGTTGCTTAGTAGTTTCTGGGGTTAGGAACGGACGTATTTTGGAGATGTTGCGGAGGTGGAGTCTACATGAATATGTCAGCGATTGGACTTGGGGCTGGAAAGACAGAATGGAGTCTAGAATGACACATATATATGACACCTTATAGCGGGACTGCAATATTGCGGCGGACATTTTTACACTAACTGCCACTTTATGGGAACCAGTGACAGTAATAAAATGATCAGTGTTAAAAATGTACACTGATCACTGTACTAATGACACTGGTTGGGAAGGGGTTGACATCTACGGTGATCAAAGGATTGTGTGTGCCTAGCTATGTGCTTTGTGTACACTAGATGGTGCTGGTACAAGGGGATGTGATGGATTCTGTTCCCAGCTCTGCTCTGACACATGATCCATCACTTTCCCCTGTCACAACAGAACTGTGCCTATGTAAACATAGGCACAGCTCTGTTCTTCCTCCCTGCCCAACAATCTGCAAATGCTGGTGAAGATCCGTTCATCAAGACTCACAGATCGGCTTCTGCTGTGACAGTTCACAGCAGAAGCGATCTGCCAGTGGTGCGCATGCACTATCCATAAGGCGGAAGTGCAAAATCCATATAGTGGTTAAAATTTAACTAAAGGCAAAACTTTTTTTTGTCATTTTGGATAGAGCGGAGATTAGTACCCCTGTCAGTTTTTATTGCTGTCTCTGCCCCTGTTATGGAGATTCATCCTCTCTATGTCCTGATTATCATTATCATCAAAAGTGAAAGTAAAAGAAAATCCCAAATTTTGGGTTGTCCTCAGAAAAGTAATAGAGAACAAATCTTCCAATGGGAACACTGGTTCTAGTGACTAGGGGGTTCCCATGGGATTCTCGTAATTTGGAAGGATTTCTTCTCACTTCCTGTTTGGCTATGGGACAGGAAGTGAAGGAAAATCTCCAAAAAGGGACACAAATGGTGAAAACAAAATCTGACATGGGTTATAACCCTACTTTGCTCTATCTAAAATGAAAAAAAAAAGTTATGACTATAGTTCCACTTTAACCTCTAAAAAGTTGCTCTGCTGCTACAACCCAACCATGTGAAAGTGGCGCTGTTTTGCAGCGCAGCCCCAATTTAGTTGAATGCATCATTTTCAGTGAGTGGTACTGCTTGCCGAGCACACAACAGTGAGGATACATTTTACTATGCCAAGACGCATACGACATAAGTACACCCCAGACTGCTGCCTTTGCAACTTAAGGGGGAGTGGTTGTGGTTGGTAAAAAATGTGGCTCAGCTACATGATTTTACCATTCCCAAACCGCAAAAGTAAACAAGACCAAAAAAAAAAATCAAACTTAGAGTAGGTCTAACCCAGTCACTACTTCCAAAAATCCATTTTCAATATGTTTAAATGAGCAAGTTTCTTTAAAATAGTGCCTGATGACCAGGGGTGGACTGACAACTCATGGGGCAATAGGGGATCATGGGGCCCGGAGTCCTTGCCCAAACTCAAAAAAGCCTGTGAAAAAGGTACCAGGGGCATCTCATGGGGCCCCCTACTGACCCCGGGCCCTCGGGCAGTGCCCGAGTTTCTAAATGGTTAGTCCACCCCTGACTGTGCATATGCAGTTCAGGAGCCAGCTGATTAGAACACCCCTGAGCTCTGCCTTAGCTTGGGCAGTGGGACCCGATGTGCAATGACATCATGAATCTTCTTTTAGAGCGTGAAAAACAACTATATAGATCAGACCAAAATGAGGGACAAATAAGGAGGAAGGAGGGACAGAGGGACATTGTTCGGAATGAGGGACAGTCCCTCCAAATCAGGGGCAGTTAGGAGCTATGGTTACTGTGTTGGGCAGTCCCCCTTTCAGTTAATCTGTGGGGCAGTCACTCTGTCAGTTATCCCACGGAGCAGTCACTCTGACAGTTATCCTGTGGGGCAGTCACTCTGTCAGTTATCCCATGGAGCAGTCACTCTGACAGTTATCCCGTGGGGCAGTCACTCTGTCAGTTCCTCTGTGGGACAGTCACTCTGTCAGTTCCTCTGTGGGGCACTCACTCTGTCAGTTACCTTTGTGGGACAGTCACTCTGTCAGTTATTTCATGGGGCAGTCAGTCTGTCAATTACTCTGAGGGGTAGTCACTCTGTCAATTACTCTGAGGAGCAGTCAGTCTGTCAATTACTCTGAGGGGCAGTCACTCTGTCAGTTACCCTGTGGGGCAGTTACCCAATTGCCATAAATGTACTGTGGACGGACAGCACAGGCAGGCTGGATCACATACATGTATGTGATCCAGCCTGTTCCTGCTCCACCCATGACTGCTGTAGCCACCGGACACAGCAGATTGCGACTCCTGGTACAGGGCCACTTTGAGTGGTATAGGGATCATTTGATCACATTGTATATCATCATTGTGTTGAGTAGGGAGCCATCTATTGGGCATTCACTGCAAATTCACCTGTGTTTATTATTCCGTTCAACAAAAATAGGGAGTGTGTTGATAAAGATTTGCCATAAATTACTGCAGCCATTTTAGCTTCCTGAAGAACACCAGTGAAGGTCTTATCTATTCTCCCTTAGATACACATATGCCTGTAAGTTTATTCGTTGTGTTTGTTAAAGTCACATACTGTATGTGACAGACCCAAACGAGACAGGTGCTTTTGGAAGGGACTGCAGGCTTGCCTCTTGCCTATGACCATGGTCTTGGCATCTGAGGGAGCTCTATTCTTTGTTGTGTGCCTGGGAAGACCTTTGGAGCAGTTGACTTTGGATTCAAGTCCATGTCTCCCCAAAACACACAGACTTTGAGAACCGAAGGACAAGGATATAGATTTGGGGTCTCTGTGCCCAATCCAGCTTTGACTGCTTCAACCCCCCCTTCCTTCCTAGTCTCAGAGACTCTAAACAAATGTTAATATAATCATCTCAAAATAAACCTGATGCTGAGGACTCTTGATGTAATCTGTTTATTAACCACTTGCCGACCAGCCACAGTACATTTGCATCGGCAGTTCGGCACCGCTGCACAAAATCATGTATACATACGTGATTTTGCATTTCGGATAGGGGGGCGCGCGCGAGGCGCGTGACTGCCCTACCCGCGCCGCCGCTCACGGCCGCGGGTATCAATCACCAGGTCCTGGCCGATGATTACCCGCCGGACCCCGGCGATTACCAGCAAACACTGACAGGCAGCACGGCTGCTTTGT